CACAGCTGGGGGCTGAATTTGAAACCCTTGAGTTCTATGTAGACGAGAGACATAACCTTAAAATCTCAGCTTTCTAGCTTTTCTGGTTCCCGAGTTAGGTTTTCCCGTCAAAACTTTCACCCCCTCGTACGCGGGCCCAGACTTGCGTGAGGACTGGTACCGCGGTCCTGAAGCGGCACTTGGCTGAGGAAGCCACCGACAAAATTTTGGCGCCGAAGCATGCTTGGGTACCGAGTTGAAATATCCGGACAGACGCACACACACACACACACAGACACACACACACACCAGGGTCATGACAATATGAGTTTCTGCATTTGCGTATAAGCAAAAACGCATGACCAGAAATTATAGTTTGACAAAAGTGGGTTAAACTCAATTCCATCGTTAAACCTAGAAGAATATTTTTTTCTTAAGTCTATCGAATCAGACGCCGTAAATCCATGATTTTCAAAGTAAAAAAGCCGCTGTTCTTTACCTGTTATTTTATTTTCTTAAAAAAGTAATCCAGTTTTGGCGAAAAATTCAACTTTACTAGGGCCAACTTGAAAGTTCCCAAAATTGCCTGTATCATGATACATTATAGAAAACTTTCGGGGCTGAACCTAGTAAAATTGGATTGGTCATGTTTCAAAAAACATTTTTAAGTAAAATATTAATAAGTAGCTCTTGAAAATATTAAAAATTAGTTTCACTGTACAGGTACTGAGGAGCAAAAGCAGAAATACATACCGAAGTTGGCATCCGGCAAAAAGATTGGGTGTTTTGGTTTGACCGAACCCAATCACGGCTCCGATCCTGCAGGTTGGTTAATTTTCTAATCACTGGATGTTGCTGCGTAAGAAGGCTTTATAATTTGGGATTTTTTTGGTGGTGGGGTGACAAAATAAAAATGCGTTTATGAGTTTTCATCTCAGGAGTCGCAATACTACCACCTTAAAAAAGAATCCTGTTTCACTTTCGCTGGAATGTATTATTAGACATCTTAGGAATGGAGGCAAAAGCAGTTTGGGTTCCCGAGCAAAAAATTTATAAACTGTACGGCACGAAAACATGGGTGAGCAATTCACCGGTGGCCGACGTATTGATTGTATGGGCAAGAAGCAAACGGCACGACAACCAAATTAAGGTGCATTGTTCTTGCGGTACACGAATATTACTATCTTTCGACGCAGCTCATTGCATTTTATATATATTATAAGTTGCAGGGTTTCATACTCGAGAAAGGTATGAGGGGTCTACAGACCCCTAAAATCACGGGTAAAATGTCACTGCAAACGAGCGTTACTGGCGAGATTGCAATGGATGGTGTGCCAGTGCCGGAGGACCAGCTACTCCCTAAAACCAATGTATTTGTCAACTTATTCATCAGAATGAAAAAACAGATAAATACTTTTAAATTTTTAGCAAATGAGCATTTAGCAGCGCCAGTAAAATGACCAGAATTTTTTGGAAAAGCAGGATACTTTTTTGGAATTTTGAAAGGAGCCATTTTCAGAATTATTTTTTCTGTTGAATGCACTAAATACAGTTGACGTAAAAGCATAGTAGGAAACAACACTGTTGTCGTGCAGTAGGTCGAAGATTCAACTGCTTTGATGGACAGTCGGCCCGTCTGCGGCTCATTCA